AAAGAAAGAAAGAAAGAAAGAAAGAAAGAAAGAAAGAAAGAAAGAAAGAAAGAAATAAATAAATTACTTTATTGCCATGGCCAATGGCTAAAAGAAACAAAATTTGATCTGATCTGAAAAGGAAAACCGGTCTGTGTTCCCGATTGAGCTGGAACTCGGATGGGGCCGTGTGAGATTCAGAGAAGTGACTGCATTTGGTGTTTGCAGGGCTAACAACTATTGGGGTCTGCTTGGAGGGTGTCTGCTAGACCCATAGCTGGAACATCCACACCACTAAACTTGAAAAGGATTCAAACGTTAAACAATATCATGCATTGTTTGGCTTCCAGCAAAGAATATGCTTTTCTTTTCTAAAAAAAAGAAGAAAGAAAATCCATAAATATCACTCATTGGGATGTCCTGGGACCCAGGGTGTCTGCTAGACCCATAGCTGGAACATCCACACCACTAAACTTGAAAAGGATTCAAACGTTAAACAATATCATGCATTGTTTGGCTTCCAGCAAAGAATATGCTTTTCTTTTCTAAAAAAAAGAAGAAAGAAAATCCATAAATATCACTCATTGGGATGTCCTGGGACCCAGGAAAGGAATTCATTATATGATTGGTTCATTTTTCTTTCTCTTCCTGCACCTTAGCCAAATATATAATAGGAAATCATCTGTGGTTTTTCCTGCTTCAAGCAATGTCTGTGGGGCTGCAATAGCTGTTCCATCATTCTGTGCTTATAAAACTGAAGATTGATCCCTGGTTTTAAGGGAACGAGGGTGGGAAGAAAAGGTACCTCAGATAACGACAGATTGGGTAGTTTCACTCCAGTGGCCTGTGAGACTCCAGAACCCATTTTAAAGAGAAGAATTGTCCAAGACGCTGCGAAGTTGCTGCCAGTCAGTGTCGAGCTCAATCAGAGCTGGTCAACGGACAATTCTCCTAACCACCATCACTACAGCTGAGCAGCAGGATTGCCAAAAAAGCAAACCGTAATGGTGTTTTCTGCTGTGTCTCTGATGGGAAGCATGTTAAGCATGTAGAATAGAGCCTATCATTGAAAAGAAGCCCAACCGTACTCCTCAGATAGAAATTTGACTCTACCAGGTAGGCCAGATTTGGGCTGCAAAAATCTGGATGACTATTAAAGTAGCAACCAACAGTCAGCCAGGTTTTTGAAGCCTAGATCAACCAATTTACATCATGGCCCTTTCCATTGCAGGCCTCAGGTCCCCTGAAAGATGTTTCATGTGTCCCCTTGGCCCAAAATGTATGACCAGTATTAAGCTAGGGGAAATTCTCCTAGTATCCCTAAACTGGGAGAAGACAGTTTCCTTTTATCCTCCTAGTCTGTCTCCAGGTGTCGTATTAACCCAGATCCACCTTCAAAAGGTTAGATGTTCTTGCCTTGTTCCTTCAAAGAAAAATTAAACTTGGAAATAGTGATGTCCAGCTGAAGAAAACTAAGGCTGATGTCCAGCTGAAATGGCTCCATTAAGTGTCAACTCTCCCACTTTATTACCTCTTTGGAAGTTTCCATATTTTATCATGGTGTCTTCTAGATACTTTCGGCTTCACTTCCCTCCACCAGTTACACTAAAAGTCACCCAAGATGCTCATGCTTAAACATTTTGGGGGTTCAGGCAACACCTTGAACCATAAGCTGACCAAACGTTTGGATAGCTTGCTAAGCCACAGAAATGATGTAACTGAGATTTATACTAACCAAGCTAGCATGTTGTACAAATGGAGACCCTCTGTCTTTTCACTGAGCTGGTTGAGTGTCTTCTGTGAACCCAGCCTGAGTGTGTGAAAGAAAAACTGCTTGTTTGCTCACTACTTAAGGGCACATCTTGATGGGGAACGGGAAACCCTGAACCTCTGTCCATAATGCTGGGCAGCCTGACCTGACCAACATTAACCAGACTCAGTAACATGTTGCATTGACCCTTCAGTGGGACTTCTGGGGAGTAGAGAAATGTTCTCTCCCACCACTAGCCCAGAAGACTAATTCTAAGAAGCCCATCCTTTCTTCGAATTGTGCAAGACATGGTGTGAAATCTCCCAGATCCAGGTTTGGATTGCAGGGAGTTGCCAAGGCCCATCTTTGGGGAAGGAAAGGAGACTCCTTTTGCTTCAGTCTCCCCCCACCCCTTCCTTAATAACTCTGCTAGTTCACCTACCCTTCCGGAGTAAGCAGAAAGGGAAGGGGGAGAAACAAGAATCTCTGAATAATCTCTCCTCTCCTCTGGAAGATGCATCGGACTCTAGCAATGGGGAGGGGTCAGCCCATCCCAAACAGCGAAGGGGAAGCACCAGCGTCCCCCCACCCCCCAACATCCTGAACCGAGAACCGCCACTGCTCCTCCTCAGTCTACGCAGTGCTGTCTCGTGTTCCTTCCACTCCACTTGTGCTGACTGATTTAGGAGTTTTCCTTCTGCATCCGAGTCTGGGCCCTTCCAGGTTCCCTATTTCCAGCTCAGTTGCAGCAGACAAAGAGAGACCAAGTTGTCAAGGTGGGGGGGAAACCCCAAACCTTGGCAGTTTTACTGAGAGTTCCAAGGAAACAGATCGGATGAAAGGCTTTGCTTCTCACCAGCCTTTTACGAGCAGTCCTGGGGTTGCTCTGCAGACAGTCACAAGCACACGCCTGACTGTTCTTCTGGGGCTTAGCTTGATGGACTCGGAGCCTCTTGTAGTTCTGCTAGCCAAGATTGGGCTTTGTTAATGCAATTATAAGCCGATCTCTTGGAGGGTCTCCTCCCACTCCCCAAAAGGAGGCATTAAGGAGAAGGTGATGGTCACCATCTCTAAAGCTCAGTGTTTTGTTGAGGGACAGCAAGAGAGAGAGCGGTAAGAAAGTGGATTTAGCAGGCGGATTTAATTAAATTGCAATTTAATTACCTACCAGCATCCATGTTTAATAAAACTCAGGAGGATTTTAATTTCTTTTCTTTTCTTTTTTTCCCCTGTTAAACAAAAAATAATGAGAGAGGCCTCACAACGTTGGGGATAATGATGTGGAGTCCAAACGTGAGAAAGCAAGGGGCTGTTTTTGACCTTGGTCAGCCACCACGATGCTGCTGATGTGGCAGGTGGCTTTTTAAAACTTCTGGGCCTTGCCTTGTTGACTTGCTGGATTTATATTCCACCTTTCCATCCAATATAACATGTCCTGAAAGAGGAATTGTCCCAACCACAATCCAAAGAAAACAGCATTGTTGCAGCGTGAGGTTCTCCTGTTCATCTAGGCCAATCTATCCCACATTCTGCTTTACTAGGAGCACATTATGGGGTAAATGTTCCTCGTGCCCCCTCCATCTTCAAATTCTCCCCTCCTTTCTCTCTCCCTCTCTGTGCCTTTGCTGAGATCATGTTTCCCAAGATGCCGTGTGAAAATACACCTTCTTTTAATGAACTGTTTACTACTCTTGTCATCAACTGCTCCCTAATTGATGTGGTGGCATGATTGTATCCTAGGAGGCATGTAAGGGAGCCCCAAGTGAACAGCATAAAAGAATCACAGCGGTTAAATGATAGGAAAATAAAAAAACATAACACAATAACAAAAGGTGTGGGATGTGAAACAGGCTGTGGCCACCAAGCCTTGTGATGCAGAAGATTGATTTCCACCCTTCCTGAGCCCTTATTAGGGTTGTGCAAAGCTCTGATTTGAAAGCTGTCTGATCGACCCTCCAGATCAAAACCACTTTCCAAATCAAATGGGAAAGTTGAATCAAACTGTCAGATCCAATCCGATGCCTTTGACTTGACTGGGATGATTCAAATGCTTCTGTACATGTGCAGAAATGTCTCACCAACCCAAATTGTTTCGGAAATCTTCATTGGAGGGTCTGATTTGATTCAAGCAGCCAAATTAAATCAATTATTCAATTGGATTGATTTCCAAATTGAATCAATTATTCTAAGTGGATGAGGACTGATGAATATACCCCAACCCTTTAGGGCATTCAGCTACCAAAGAGGGGCAGGTAAGGTCCAGGAACAGGGACCACGTTTGTTCAGTTACCTTCTCTGGA